CAAAGTGTCTGTTACAGCAGTTTCCCACCCTGATACTGACTTGCTGAGAAATGTGGAGAAACTCTGGCAGGCTGACATTCTTCTCTACCGGAATGAAAAGACAGTAACTCATTCCGAATTAGACAAAGAAGCTATTGAGCTGCTTGAGAAGAGGACAGTGTGGGTGTCTGTGGACAGGATTCTCCGCAATGCTACACCTCTTCTATGGAGGAAAACCATGCCTGTGCTTAAAGCCTCCCCTGAATTTGTGATGTCCAATCTGTGGAACAACGAGAAGAAACTAACTAAGAACCAAGAGATGGCTGCTATCTATCAAGAGGAGATTCAGAAGCTGATCCAAGCTGGTTCTGTGGCAGAGCTAAATCCCCAAGAGACAACTGCTGATGGAGAATCATGGTTTATCCCTATTCAATTTATGAGTCACAACAAAAAAACAGGCTTGTATTTAATTGTTCTCCCCAGTTTCAAGGTATGGACCCCAATGACTTTCTACTTACTGGACTCACACTTGGTGCATCACCGCTAGGAGTGCTGCTACAGTTCCACGAACATGTGATAGCCATTAGTGGTGACATTAAAGGCATGTTTCACCAAGTCCGCCTGCTACCAGAAGATAGATGCCTCCTGAGATTCCTATGGAGGGACAAGGACTGACCACCAGATTTTTATGAATGGCAGGTACTCCCTTTTGGCACCACTTGTATCCCCTGCTGTGCCACTTATGCCCTTTAGCGTCACATCACTGACCACAGTCAAGACGGAGAGGATGTGTGGTTTTGGATTGAGCGGTGCTTCTATGTGGACAACTGTTAACAAAGCCTACCATCATCAGAGGAAGCAAGAGCCTTAGTCGATAAGCTAAGAGCATTACTTATTTCAGCACGGTTCAACCTTCACCAATGGGCAAGTAATAGAGCAGAAGTGATCAGTCACCTACCAACTGAAGCTCGTTCTCCAACTATAGAACTCTGGCTTGTCCAGGAAAGGTCCGCTTTGAAAACACACTTGGACTCAGCTGTAACACATAGCTTCAAACACAGGCCCCTTAACAATGGGTCTTTGACCATGAGGAGCATGTACAATGTTCTTGCTTCTCAATATGATCCCTTGGGTTACATCCTGCCAGACACAGCCTGTGCCAAAGTGTGGGTACGTCATTTATGGGAGAAGCATCAGGATTGGGATGACCCAACACTTTCCTCAGACTTACAGCAACTGTGGCCGCAATGGGAAGATGAGCTCCACCTACTGCCCCAAGTTACCTTACCCAGATGCGACACTCCTGCGGTTGGTGGTTCTACAGTCACTACCATACAAATGCACATTTTCTATGATGCCTCAGAACAAGTCTATGGGTCAGTTGCATACCTCAGGACTGAAGACAGCCAGGGTCACATCCATCTAAGCTTCCTCCTAGCTCGATCACGGGTAGCCCCCTGCATACAAATGTCCATGCCTTGGTTGGAGCTATCTGCAGCCTTAACAGGAGCCCAGCTAGCTAAGCTTATACAAGCAGAACTTACCCTGAAGATAGACACCACCACCTTGTGGAATGATTCCACCACAGTGTTAAGGTGGATACTTTCAGATTCGTGCCACTACAAAGTATTTGTGGGCACCCTGGTGGCTGAGTTACCAGACCTAACAGATCCACAGTCTTGGAGGTATGTAGATTCAGCCAACAATCCTGCTTATGACTTGACCCGAGGGAAAAAGTTACAAGCTCTTTCCAAGCCAAACAGATGGAGTCAAGGCCCCCCTTTTCTGCTTCAGACAAAAGACAACTGGCCTTCTAATCCTGCAAACATCCCTGAAGGGGAACCCGTGGAATTACGGAAGTCGGTCTTTTGTGTTACAACTTCTGCCACTGCATCCTCAAAATAAAATTTGAGAGCTATCAAGATTGGCAACTGCTTGAATCCACTGCAAAGAATCTACAAAGAAGAGTTGAGAAGGCAGGTCAGTGTGGCTGAGAAGAGGTGGTAAAGGTAATTTGGAGAATTTAATTGAACAACTGAAAGTCTGCACTACAACACAGAACATGCATTAGCAGCAGCTCAAGAAATGGTTTCACCACCACCAAAAAAGCAAAAAACAAGAACTTAACAGAGCATGAAACCAGATACATTTAAAAAAGGAGGACCAATATCAGGCAACCCTTCTCCCGATAGAAGCAGCTGATGAAGGAGAAAGAATGAAAAGGGACGCTGTAGTTTCAATGTTACTCCTTGACAAGTAAGTGAACTGTACTGGCTAAATTAGCGTAAAGCTAACTTTTTTCATTTGGTTTAATTAGACTGTGTTGCATGTTACCATAGAAAGCATTACAGTAGATCCTTGTTGGTGCCAAATTGTGGGTTTATGCGGGTTTAGTTGTCATGATCTTGGCACCATAGGCTGGGTTTTACTCCTTCTCCTCTCATCTACTTTGCTCCGCCCTGCACTCATTATATCTTATCAAATCCACCTGTTCCTCTGCTATTTAAGTCACCGGATCGCAGCCAATGGTGCCAGATTATTTGAGCTTCTAGAGAGTCTAATTCTAGCGTTTCTGTATGTGTTTGTTCTGCCTGATCTTGACCTGTTTCTGCCCGTGGATTTGTGAGTTTAGGCGGCCCCTGTTCTGCTCTGTTTTAGCCTTTTCTGTGTTTCCTTACTGTTACCTGGATTTCACCTGTTGTCATCCTTGGACCTGTTTTCTAACCACAGTTTGGAATATCCTTCTGGATCCCTTGATTCCTCTGTGTGTTCAGGCTCCTCTTCTCTGCTGGATCTCTGGTATTGGCTCAGTCTTAGGCTGTTGAGTTCTGCTCCAGCTGATGAGCAGCCGCAAACATTTTTTCAAGTAATCACTGTCTGTCTCATCTGAATTCTGGGTCCAACATTCTGATCCTTCTGACATTAGTACCTTTCAAAGCCGCAGTGAATCTTGGCTTTTTGTCAAAGTAAATACCAGCTTGTAGAAAATTCACTTCAGATGACATGGTTACAGCTGCGTTGTTGTTGTTTTTTTTTTAGTGTCATGAAAAGAAAGAAATGAACGGATATGATCTGCCTGTCACGTCATACTGCGGTAGGAAAAAAATTAAGTTTATTTTTGTATAATAAAGCAGCTTGAACAAGAGTAGAAAAGTGTGTTGGATTACATGGTTACTTTAGGAACATTTAACAGCGCTGGAATGTGTCAAACTTGGATGATTCTGAACCGAGAGCCACGGGCATCTTTATTGGAAGGATTGCATTAATACATCCATTTAAAATAGGGTTCTATGTAATAATCCTCTGAGTATATCCACAGTTTTCCACCATATTATTGTATAATATTGAAACGCTGCTTGTTTCCCTTCAGAGACAGAGGCTGATCTCACAAAATGTCACTTACACATAGCACACGTTTTTGTTTTTTGCAGTAGTTGATCACAGCTCTTAGTTTCAGTGTTTAACAGATAAGGTTTCATGCAGTTGTTTTAACCACACATGCACTCACAGAACCACATACTGTATCAAAGATACAAAAGCCTTTCGCCTATTTACCCCAAGCTCTGTTTCCTCCTATGACTCATGGGTGTTTTGCTTTGTAGTCAAAAAGCAGAAAGACCGCTTTTTTTCTCTCCTTTTGTGTGCGTTTGTGAGGCGTTGAGCTCCTCTACACCTCTACAGCTCAGACTACACCTCCAGGCTGAAGCAGGAACTATAGTTGGTGTCATCTGGCAAATGAACTCAAGCCTGAATATAAAATTTCACTAACTCTCCCTTTAATTTATCAACGACTGTTCTGAAATCTAGACTTTAGACAACTTATTCTGGGCTTCACCTGTGATGATTGCAGCCCCGGTAGCTTATCTAATTACTCACTTTATTCACCTGCAGTTCCCTCCCCCTCATTATTCTTAGTTTGTTGGTGTTACGTATTCATGTTTGTTTGTTTTTGATTTTTTTTTTTATTAAGTCCCTGCTTCATTTCCTGACTCCTTGGGGAGGTTGTGTGTCAAGAGGATGTTAGTGTTTAATCAATGAACTGATAATCTAACAGTGTTAGATTATCAGTTCATATATGATAAGAAAAAACATACTTATGTATAATATTTTAGATTCTACCCCACCCCTTTTTGGATAGACTGTACCAAAACAAAACTTTGGCCCTGCTCTGGGAGCCAAATAAAGTAAACATTGAACCATTGAGTGCATCAATACTCACATAGTGATGACTTTCATTGGTTGAATCTAGATTTTTTTGAAAGAAAAAGAAAGAAAGAAATACTAATTTTTTTCATGATCACACTCTTTGCACCTTTTGCTTTTTCTCATCTACCAGTAGTTGCTACAAAACAGACTAGTTTCCTTCCATTTTAACACTGTTCTTACACTGCACCTTTGAAAAATGTTCTTCCTCAAGTGAAAAAAATCTTTCATAAGCTTTAAATGTCAGAAACAGAAATGAGCTAAAAAGAATATGATTGCAGCTCTTTGGGAAATGATCATAGAAGATGAGCAATTTACTGAAACACATTGAAATACTCAAACTAACAAAAGAATCAATATGATGTAGTTCATCCTTTTAAATATTGATTTTCTTGAAAGTTTAACATCTTTGTATGCATGTCTGCATTTTTTAAAGCGCTTTTTATCTTTTTAAAAATCATAAAACTTTTATTTTATATGATTGAAGTTTCCTAAAGATTAAGTTTCTTTTGATAGATCAGGTACCTGTTGTTTGGCGTTCCTCGGTAACTCTAGTTTTTCTGCATTTAATAAAAACAGCAGCAGTAACAACCAGCAGAAGCAGAACCCCGATCCCTGCTCCGAGGAAGAGGATGATGATGATGGTGGTGTTATTGGCAGGAACAGCTGTGAAGACTAAAAAAATAAATAATATGCAGTGAACATTATTTAAATGAAATGTCATTTATACTTAAAGAGATATTACATTGTATCAACATAAATACAAAGTGGAGATGAAATCACAATTTTTAATCAATCTTCATAAGATGACATCATACCTTCCAGCTGGTAGTGAGCTTCTATCTTCACTGTGTTTCCATCAACAAACTGGCAGGTGTATCTTCTGCTGCTGCTGCTCTGAAGCTTCACAGTGAGATTAGAATCACAGCCAGTCTGTCTAAACTGGTACCCAACACCTTCACCAGTCAGACCAGTTCCTGTCTCATCCACCCAGAGGAGGCTGTTCTCTGGACAAGGACCCAATGAGCTGAATCTCAGCAGAGAACAGAGTAATGTGATTTTATTCCCTCTTGGATCAGCTTCTACTGGAGAGACTGAAATGAGAAAACCAACAAATACAATTTTTATTTCCAGGTTAGGAAGGACTGATATCAGCAGGAACACAGAGTCAGTTCAGATCACTCACTGCTCATCAGATTTAGATACACATCTGGATCAGAGCTGCCTCCATCCTGAATCTGACATCTGTAACCTCCAGCATCCTCAGCAGTGATGCTGTTGATGATCAGAGAGCAGTTATTGTCCACACTCAGCCTGGCAGCTTTAGATGAACTCTGAACAATGTTTCCTCTCTGAACTTCCTGCTGAGGATTCATGTCTTCATCTCTCATATAAAGCCAGTTAACAGTGGAGCATGAGGAAGAGGATGATGAAGGTCTTTTACAGGGTAAAACAGCATCATCTCCAGCTCTGTGGTAGATATGGACTCCTTCTCTTTTGATACCTGCAGAAAAAGACATTACATTACATTTAGCTGTTAATAACATTAGCAACTGTAATTTTTTTTTAACAGTATTTACGTAATCATAGCAACAAGCACTCACTCACTGAAACATCAAATTGTGTAAATGGTAGGGTGACCAGACGTCATCTTTTTCCCGGACGGAGCGACCGAACCCTACCCGCTGATGGTAGCCTGGACACTGGTAGCCCAGTGGAGCATGGCGCTGCCCCCACCCCCCTCCCCCAAGTGTCATCCTTGTCAGAAACCCAAATCTGGTCACCATAGATATGCTAGCATTGCTATCAATAGCTTAGCAACAGAATCATACTTCCAGCTTGCAGTTGTGATGGCCTTAAGGTTGTAACAGCCCCTTGTTTCAGTAAAAGAAGTTTAGCAAATCCTGCTTTGAACTGTCCAAGGTTTTGAAAACTGTCCTCGGTAAAATGCTTAGAGCAAATGAACAGCTGAGCATCAAACTTTGCAGGGATCTTCTGATAGACAAAAATAATCCATGCCTGTCAAGTCTTCGGATCCTTGGGAAGACTGAACATTTTTCCCTTCCCCTGTGCAGTCTGGAACACTGCATTTACGCCCGTGGTTCTGGCTCATTTTCAATAGAGAGACTGACTGCTTTGCAATTCTTGCCACTTCACCCACTGAACTATCGTCATTCATCTATGACAATGGAAACTCGGTTTTGCATTCTATGACCCCTTTAAATCAAACATATTATGTGACGGAAATACACATGATGTCATAGAATTGTGGCGTCAGTACGTGACGCACAGGGGACTTTGACCAAGAGTCAATATGTGATGAGTTGGGAGTGAGAATATGTTGACTAAAACATTGGAGGGTGCAAACATTTGCCTGTGTCACATACAGCACACGTGAAGCAATACTTAATTTTTGTTCATTTCTGCGAGACGAGTTGTTCCTGAACATCATGTCACACAAAGGATTGTGGGATTCCTCATAGCTTCTTAGCAGCAGTAAGGAACGTCCTGAGGTCTCTCTGCTAAAGGAACCATGATAGAAAGCTTACAGTCTCCTAGACCCAAAACTCTGGTCTATTTAAAGCAGATAAGATGTGGTAGGTGTGAAAAAGTAGACTTAAAACAGATTTAAAACTTTGCTTGTGTGGTATAAAAATAAAATGTTGTCTTTTTTGTTTTAGATAGAAAAATGGTTTTAAAATATGTAGAAGTCTGTCCAGAAAGCAAAACAATACTTCAATAGAGAGGAAATTATAGCATAAAAAAAATTACAGTATTAAATTTTTATTTATTTTTTACTTTTTGCATTTTACTTGATCTGCTCAGTAAATAAAAACCATCCTACCTTTAAGCACAGCTGGGTAGTGAGCTTCTACCTTTACACTGTTTCCTTCAACAAACTGGCAGGTGTATCTTCTGTTGGTGACGCTCTGATGCTGCACAGTCAGAGAGGAAACACAACTACCTGGTTTATTTATCTTGTATCTGTCATCTTTACCAGTCAGTTTAGTTCCTTTCTCATTCAACCAGTGGAAAGTCCCAGAGCAAGTATACCACTTGAGGTTTGTCTTTAGGGAACACAATAATGTGACATCCCCATCCTTAGTTGGAATAGCAGCTGGAGAAGATGGAGAGACTGAAAGAAAAATGAAAAGTTTAAAAGAGAGTTTGAAAGATGGGGAATAAACTTTCTCTAAAATAAGAAATTTAAGGAAGACAACTTTATGAAAATAGAATAAAAACAGTAAAACAATATACAAATGTAATAAATCTTTATATGTTTTCTCCTTGTTTCTTGGTGATTGATGCATTTATGTTGCAGATCTGAGCAGGTATTTATCAGCATGATGGAACAAAACAGAACAGAAACTTTCCAAATGAAAGTAAATGATGCATTGATTTGATCAAACCATTTAACCACATAATACATCAAAAACTAATGGAATCTTAACAGCCCCACAGCAGCTGAGCACCACGTTCATTCTGATGAGGTCACTTCCTGATGTCAGGCTCCTCAAAGCTTGGCCCTGCCTTTAGCTCAACCAGTAAACAGCCGACACCCAACAAAGAAAAACTCAACAGAAACACAGTTGGAGGCAGAAATAAGATTTAAAAGCCATTGAGAGTTTGATTTGATCTTTGTTAGGTATAAAAACTTAGGCTAAAGCTTAGGCTACATGTGTGGCATTTGGTGAAACTAGGATTTCAAAAGTGCCAATGTAGAAGTTGCATAAGCCGGTTTGTTGAGAGTTTCCTCTAATGCAGGCAAAAGGATCTAAGCTGACTCTGATTTGAACATGCAGCCCTCTCATCTGGAGTCAGACATGCTACCATTGCACCACAGAGTGCTGAGGCTCAGATTTCAGGTCACAAGAGGATTTTTGCTGGACAAAAGATATAACATGCCGCTATTCATGTGTCGGCAGCCAAATTGAATCCAACATTGCTTTCCCGATCTACAAGAAAGAAGAATCCAATGGCCTTCTTCAGTAGATAGATGTGGGAGTTTCACGTGGATAAAGGCAAAAAAAAAATTAAGGTTTGACTGTAAAGCCAGGAATACACCGTGGGTGCATTCCAGGAATCCACCGTAAGCGAGAATTTTTCGATAAGGCCGACTTTCGGCGTCATGTACTGTACAGGGGGTAACGAGGGGTGATCAGCCTCTCATGACCATCTCCCGATCAGGAATCGTAAGGTCGGGAGAAAATCAAACATGTTTGATTTTTAATCGGTCTTCGTTAGGTGGTCGTGGGAAAATCGCACAGTGGGCAAACAAGGATTCTTCTCCTTCTTCTTGCTCTCAGACGAAAAGCCAGAAGCATGGCGAGGGTGCAATGAGTGAAATGGAGTTCTTTCTGTAAAATTAACCGACCATAGTAGCTACGTTTGCTCAGCTATGTCTTTGTCCAAATACGTCGTTTCCTTTTTTTTAAATAAAGTTTAGGCTATGGTACTTCTTCTAGAGTAAAAAGAAAATAATCCACATATTTAAAATATTAAACAAAATGCAAAAAGTATTCTGTCAACTGCGTTGTCTTTAGACACCAAATAAAATCTGTGTGACTGAAACGTGGAATTCAAAGTAAAGCTTTAAAATGCTGTTTTTTATTTGTTTTGCTTTATGGTATATTCCAAATAAAGTAGATGAAAGGTATAAAGTATGAAAATTATAAATAAAATATGAGGTTTACGATGTAAAAGTAGACAAAAGGTATTAAGGAATAGCTCAAACTGCAAACTAAAAAAAACTTATTTTAGTTGTGGTTGAAGTGGCTTTTATCAAGAATAAGCTGCATAATATCAATAAGAAACATAAGATAATGCTCCAATATGGCATAATCATGCATTTCCTCCGTCGTTTACAGATGCCGTTTTTAGAGAATGGTCCCGTAAGGGCATAGTGTCAATCAAAGACGTAAATATAAATAAAAAATTCTGTTCTTTTGAACAATTACAAGTAAAATGGAGTCTACCTAAAAGTCATTTTATTAGATCTTTACAATTAATAAATTATGTTGGGGATAATTTGGCAAATTTTGACTCTCTCCCTTTGGATAATGATTTGTTCAAAATCATACTCGGCCTACCAGAGTCCAAGGGTTTAATTTTATCATTGGTCCGCTATTTTTTTAAGTAAGTCTGAATGTTCAACATTTAATATAAAGCAAAAGTGGGAGGAGGATCTCAATATTACAATCAAAGACGAAGTATGGAGCAGAGCACTGAGTGACATACATTATTGCTCAGTGAACTCAAGGTTGCAAGTAATACAATATAAAGTAGTTCATAGGTTACAATACTCAAAAACAAGGTTAAATAAAATTTTTATGCAAACATCGCCTCTCTGTGAGAGATGTAAAATATGGGACAGCACATTAGCACATCAATTTTGGCTTTGTCCAAATATTCAAAGTTTCTGGACCTCAATATTTGAATGGTACTCTCGCGCCCTTAAAGTTAACATAAAGCCCGATCCAGAAACGGCCCTCTTTGGTGTCTTGGACACTCTTAACAAATTGGGTCGTGATGTAACAACAGTGGTCTCCTATGGCATGATGATTGCAAAAGATGTTGGATCTTGGATCAAGGAATTTACAGGAATCCTACACATAGAAATTTTTTTATTTGATTTAATAAACTGTCCTCAAAAATATTACAAAATTTGGAAACCCATTTTAGAACAACTGAAGCCATAAAGAACCCCTATCTCCCCCTCTTTTTTGTTCTTCTTTACCCCATTTGTCATGAATAAAGGTGTGGACACTTCTAATTGACTGGTTGAAACTCCATAAAGTGTTTTTTTTGTTTTGTTTTTTTACTATCAGTATGTCTAAAGTGTAAATGAACAAATGACTTTTATATAATATTTATTGTTTGTCTAATGCTATTTTTTGTTTGTTTTTTCAGTTTTTTGTATGACAAGTACTAAAGGACATTAATCATTGTCATGTTCTTGTTGTATACCTGTAAAACATCTATAAAAATAAAGTGAAAAAAAAGAAACATAAGATAGAGCATGCCCCGTCCAAAGGCATCCTATGGGGCTGATTACTCCTGATAACAGCCTTTAAATGGGCCGATAACATCCAAAACGGGTCACTATCCAGGATGAAGGAAACTGGGAACTGATGATCAACTGTACATGGGGCCTCTGCAGGCTGCAACAGGTGGTCGATTTTGTAATATCTCCTAAATAATTTTAAAAGAATTAAAAGCATGTCTTCCTCTCAAGAGTTCATAAGAATAAGATTTAGAATTGATGCTGAAAGCTGTTGCTTTTGTAAAATACAGCTTGAGAACACTAAATATATTCGAAGATTGAAACTGATTGAGGTTAGTACAGCTTCTTTTTATCTAAATTCCTAAATATATATTTTTTGCTATTTTATAAAAATATTCACGCTTTTATATATATATATATATATATATATATATATATATATATATATATATATATATATATATATAATTAATATCCTTCTCGCTTGAAAGAGTTCAGTCTAGGCAACTGGACAAGAAGAGAATCTCTTTCAAGCTTGATCATAATCTGGATGACTGAGAATTTTGACAGATATAATAGCCTATTTCATTTCAAATTAATATTTTATTTATTGCAAATGAGTATTAAATAGGCCAACATAAATGCAGATTAGCAAATTGCCATCCTCATTTCCTCACTAAAAAAATGTACTCCGTTCAAAAGGCATCAGAGTAGCACAAAGCAATAATCTAAAATAATTTTACAGGATTGAGAAATATTTTAAGAAACCCCTTAATGTTGCATTAAGGCATCATTTTCCTTTTGTTTATTTACTTTTTTTTATTGTAAAGAGAGTAATAATTTATAGGGGTATATATTGTTCTGAGATGGTTTCCATTGATCTTTTATGAAGCGCTTCGTGGTTAATCAGCTTTTAATCAACTTTGTTTAAACGTTTAAAATTAGATTGTTTTTGCAAATAAATACTTTTCGGCATGAGAGAATTTCATAATATTTGCTTTTTTAACATCATAGCCAGGAGACTACAGATAAAAAAATAGCCGTTGGTAACTTCTGTCTGCTTTTAAACCCATGAATCATGTCATGCCTTTAGTAAACGCACTGCTGCCCTTTAAGTTAAACAAACAAATCAAACAGGAAATCAATTTTTTCATGAATATTTATGAATTTTCAGCATCAGATATTTAAGATTTTATTTTCTATTTCAAATATGTGAAATTAATGCAGTGTTTGTATTTTACAATGGCCCCAATACTCCTTCATAAAACAGTAGGATATATTCTATTGATGTCTGCATGCATATTACATGGTTTAATTTAATTTATCCTTCATTAATAATTAATCTTTTTCATTAATATTTACAGCAGTAGATTTGTGATCTCTGCCCTGACAAGATTATTTTTTCGCCCGTTTTCTCTTTGTTGCTCAGGGCGCATCTGACCGTGTATTAAGAATAACACATGAGCAGAAAATTGACTCTCATGTTCAACATGAAGGTCCTTTATTTCTAAGCATTGAAGTTAATCATTTTTGAAGTACCCTACTGCGCAGGACACAGTAAACAAATATAGTGGTGAAAAAGCAAGAATACAGGCTTTTAAGAACAACAATAGAAAAGAGTCTCTGTATTTGTGGCATGAAAACACACCATCTATGACCTATCATGCTGATTCAATGTGTACCCTGATAATAGCAATACTCATAGCAATATATAATGGTTTAGAATAGAATAGAATAGAAAATCCCTTTATTGTCCCACACTGGGGAAATTCTTGTGTTTAAAACAGCAAAAAGTTTATAGAAAAAATTAATTGTCACACAAATGTGGACCTTAGAAAAATGTATAAGAATAACATAATAGTGAAAAGTTAAAAGATAAACAATAAAATACTGTACTGTAAAGTGTTTTAACAATATAAAATTATATTCAATTTATTATTTATCAGTAATAATAATACATTTGGACAAGACATG